GAGATAGACGGCGGCACCAACAGGAGGCGGGGGGCCACACAGTCCACTAGCAGGGGTCGCAGCTGCCTTCTGCGCGTCCTGTGGATGTACCTTTGTCGCGCGCCGGAGATGACTCGACGCCGCTGAGATCGGAGATCAAGCTCTGACAGGTCGCACGTCGCTCCTTTGACGCCGACGTGATTTACCCGTGCAGATCACATCAGGACACGGTCTCGACGCGCTCGGTACGACGCCTGCGACCCGTCTCGGGTCAGGTGGCACGACGCTCATCGCGCCCGCCAGCGCTGCCGTGCAGGTTGCCACGACGAGGTCGAGAACGCTTCTATACGCTCGCCGAGCCTTCCTTTCCATCCCATTAGGCAGCCTGGGAACGGTGGCGATCAGAGGCAAAGCCTACGAGGGATGGTGGAACCACATGTCACGGCTACTGCCGGCTCGACCCCACGATAGCCTCCGGAGGCTGACTTTGAGGCACAACCATCGGACGATGTCGACGAGTTGGGTCGCTCTCGCGGTAGCCAGATGACCTCTCATACTAGGAGCATCGGCCATGGCCGCAGGGAGCGCGGGGGAGGGCGCTGGAAGCAACACGGAGCTCCGTTGGAGACGTTTTCAAGATTAGCGTGTCAGAGTGAAATGGCACTAGCCGAGAGCCCCTGCACAGCAAACGGGAGGGGACCAAGGAACCCCTGAGCCCTGTCGCTGTGTCACTTAGCAGCCGTTTGAGTTGTTGCCGTTTGTAAGCTTTGTATTATACAGACGCGGGACAGATGAGATGACGACACGCACGAGCAACACACAGATGATGACGACACGCTCGAGGTGGTGGATAGAGGGAGAGGCAAGGCAGCAGTGACGGGGATACCGACGCAGCGACACACAGACACGCACAGACAAGGCACTCCTCCAGCGGGGCTGACACCCGATGCTCGACAGGATTTGGCTTCGGGCGACGCGAACCTGCCCGTGACGCGCGGCGGGGCGAGCGAGGCGGAGGAGGCGCTCGACGAGCTCGAGGCGGAGATACTCAGCCAGCTCTCGCCGGCCGGGCTGGCCGGTGGCGGGGGTGGTGAGGATACGTAGCACTGGGTCACGTTTGACTTAGCCGCTCTTGGCTGTGTGTGGGGGGGGGGTGTCAAAAAACTGTTCAAGTCTTAAAGGCGCCAAGGAGTTCGTAAAATGGGGGGGGGGGGGGGGTGTCGGGGGCGCGCAGGACAGAGGCTCGACGATCATCGGCTCGCCGAGGGGGGAACGAGGAGGGGGGATGGGCGGTCGGCGATGGGGTATGAGGTATGATGCAACCGGGCGTACGGGGTAGTCGTCACTTTCTTGCCTCACAAGGGCGGGGCATTCCCGGAAAGTGAGAAACGCCGGGCAGCGTGACGCACAACTTTACCCTCCCATACGTGTTGGGCTCCTCCTTCGCTGTCCCATCTCCTCACTCATCTCAAAAACAAACAAAACCCTGTCTGCACGTCTCGCGCGCGCGTGAACAGGGCTCCAGGCCCCAAATTACGTGTGAGTGTTAGAGTTGTTTGGTATTGCTAAAAATCTCTCATCTCTTTCCCACCTAGGCGGGGCGGTGGGGGGGCGGCGGGCGCGGGGTGCTGGGTGCGGCGCGGTGCGTGCAATCGTGTGTTTGGCGTCATGTTGTGTGTGCCTTCCCTTGTTTCTATTTCATCGAGGTAGGTAGGTAGAAAGGTGAAGAACAGCCAGGCTCGGACTGGACACCAACGCGGTATGGGTGGACGCAGGACAGATGATGACGACACGCACGAGCGACACACAGACACAAACAAGCTCACAAGACACACAGCCAGCTGGCTGCCACACACCCTGAGTTGGCGTACACATAACTCAGGGCCACATTCTTCCTGTCGCCCCCCCCAGCACTCCAAGGTGCCAAGAGAAACAAACAAGGGCACAACAAACAACAGACGACAGGAAGTAACGTGCGAGGCTAGAGCAGGCTTGCTCGTCCTCTAGCAATCTCCGCCGACCGCGAGGCCGGACGAGACCGTGTGTGGGGTCATGTGAGGTGTCTCTGGTCACTCTCCTCAGGGGCTAGCCGCCAGCGGCCAGCCCTATCTCGCACTCACAGGCAATGACAATCCAATGTATGAGTGTATGCAAGCAGAGGCACGTGTGCTAATTCTAGGCCGCACGTCGTGGCACTATGACGAAGGTAGACGTGCGGCTGCAGCGCGCCCGCCGCAGGCTCGGCGGTGCGCGCGTGTTAGCGATAAAGTCACGGGTAGAGCCGTTCCCGACTTTTCGAATGCGAGGCCTCTGCGACGAGTGCCAGTCGCGCTGCGGAGCCACGCCCTTCGAGCCGCGTCCCGTCGGCACTACCCTCGAGTGCGTGTCGCCTTGGTTGGCGACACCCACTCGCCGAGGGCAGTCCGGCCGACATCATCGAAGTTTAGCTAAAAAAGAAAACACTGTGTCGGCGGCCGAGTTTGGCAACCGCTCAGATCTCTTGCATCACGATGCTGCCGCCTGCTCTGATCTTCTGCTTCGGCCTGCCCGGCAGTGGAGGCGCGGCGACGCCGCCGGGAGCGGTTTTCTCTCAGGCGACGCGCTCAACCTGGGAGAGCTTCCCTTCAGCGGGTCGGTGTACGAGCGATCTCGACGCCTTTGTGTGCCGTGGACCTGCCTCGGACTGCTCCAGACAGCGCTGCGTTGACTCTTGCGAAGGAGCTCACCCCACCACGACGAACGTCGAGTACCATTGCGATTCCGAGGGGTGCTGGTGCTTCTGCCAGTCCGGCTGCGATTGCCTGCAAAGCGTGGGCGAAAGCAGCACGTGGGCGCCGGTTGGCACGCTTGTTCTTCCGGAGGCATGCCTCCACCTTCGGGGCGACGCGGCACGACGTCGACGTCGGCTCGACAATTCCGATCCACCGCGGTCGCCCCCTCCGCCGCCATCCCCGCCGCTTTTGCCTGGCTTGAGCGTCCAGGTCGACGGCCCGTGCCCGCTCACCGACGGCGGCGCCTGCGCCACCTCGCCACACTACCTGGACGGTGAGTACGGCCCTGAGGAGCGGTGCGAGTTCACAAATGTGCCGCCGAGCCCACTGGTCTCCATCGCCTTCGACGCGGAGCCTCACGCCGACTGCGCCTACGACTACCTCGTCGTCAACGGTGTGAAGTACTGCGGCACCTCTGGCCCGTCTGGGATCGTGCCGTCGGATGGCAACATCACCTGGAGCTCGGACGGTGGAGTGTCCGCGGCCGGCTGGAAGATCTGCTGGGCCAACGCGCCTCCGCAGATGCCGCCGCCTCCTAGCCAACCGCCGCCACCGTCACCCCCGCCGCCATCGCCGCATCTGCCTGGTCTGAGCGTCCAGGTCGACGGCCCGTGCCCGCTCACCGACGGCGGCGCCTGCGCCACCTCGCCAAACTACTCGGACGGTGAGTACGGCCCTGAGGAGCGGTGCGAGTTCACCAATGTGCCGCCGAGCCCGCTGGTCTCCCTCGCCTTCGACGTGGAGGGAGACGATGACCCTGACTGGGACTACGACGGCAACGGCGACCCCACAGACGACTGCCCCTTCGACTACCTTTTCGTCAACGGCGTGAGGTACTGCGGCACCTCTGGCCCGACTGGGATCGTGCCGTCGGATGGCAACATCACCTGGGCCTCGGACTATTCGACTTCCGCGGCCGGCTGGAAGATCTGCTGGGCCAACGCGCCTCCGCAGATGCCGCAGCCGCCTAGCCAACCGCCGCCACCGTCACCCCTGCCGCCATCCCCGCCACATCTGCCTGGCCTGAGCGTCCAGGTCGACGGCCCGTGCCCGCTCACCGACGGCGGCGCGTGCGCCACCTCGCCAAACTACCCGGACGGTGAGTACGGCCCTGACGAGTGGTGCGAGTTCACCAATGTGCCGCCCAACCCGCTGGTCTCCCTCGCCTTCGACGTGGAGCCTCACGCCGACTGCGCCTACGACTACCTCACCGTCAACGGCGTGAGGTACTGCGGCACCTCTGGCCCGTCTGGGATCGTGCCGTCGGATGGCAACATCACCTGGGTCTCGGACGTTTTCTTCGCCGGGGAGGGCTGGACCGGCTGGACCGGCTGGAAGATCTGCTGGGCCAACGCGCTGCCGCAGATGCCGCCGCGTCCTAGCCAACCGCCGCCACCGTCACCCCCGCCGCCATCCCCGCCGCTTCTGCCTGGCCTGAGCGTCCAGGTTGACGGCCCGTGCCCGCTCACCGACGGCGGCGCCTGCGCTACTTCGCCACGCTACCCGGACGAGTACGGCCCTGGCGAGCGGTGCGAGTTCACCAATGTGCCGCCCAACCCGCTGGTCTCCCTCGCCTTCGACGTGGAGCCTCACGCCGATTGCTCCTACGACTACCTCGTCGTCAAGGGCGTGAGGTACTGCGGCACCTCTGGCCCGACTGGGGTCGTGCCATCGGATGGCAAGATCACCTGGGTCTCGGACGGTGGAGTGTCCGCGGCGGGCTGGAAGATCTGCTGGGCCAACGCGCCGCCGCAGATGCCGTCGCCTCTGCCACCCCAGACGCCACCGCAGCCGCCCTCGCCGCCCTCGCCGCCCTCGCCGCCGCCTCTGCCACCGTCCCCTCCATCACCGCCATCTCCGCCGCCGCTCCCGCCGCTCACTCCCGCGACCTTTCTCGTCGAGACCGTCGACCAGCTGCGCGAGCGGCTCAAAGACGCCGAGGGCGCTCCCAGCGCCAACATGTCGCTGCAGCTGCAGCGCGACGCACTCTTCCTTCTCGGCGGCAGCGAGCTGTCGTGCCGCACCCCAATCGAAGTCTCGATCCGGAGCAGCCCAGGCTCGACCGCCATCATAAACGCCGGAGGCATGTCGCGCCACTTCCTCGTCTCGGGCGGCTGCCGCCTGACGCTGGAGGGCGACATCACCCTCATCAACGGTACCGCGGACGGCGACGGCGGCTCCCTTGTGATTGAGGGCGGCGAGGCGGTCCTTCGCGGCGTCACCATCAGCAACTCCTCCGCCGGCGGGGACGGCGGCGGCATCGCCTCCAAGCAGGGCAGCCGCCTCGGCCTCGAAGCGGTGACTGTCTCGGGCTGCAAAGCGGGAAATAGCGGCGGCGGGCTATTTGCCGAGCTGTCGCAGAGCCTCGTCATCAGGGGCTCCATCTTTGAGCGCAACGAGGCTGGCAAGGGCGCTGCGATCGAGTACGCCTCCCAGGACACGGACAGTGAGACCGCCCTCATCGTCGGCACCGCCTTCGAGGGCAACGTCGGCGAGACGACCGTCAGCTCGAACGCGCCCATCAGCTGGATCTGCGAGCGCGGGCAGTACATGCCGCGCACGAGCGGCGACGGGGAGGACGCCTTCTCCGGCGACTTCACCGGCTGCTTGAAGGAGTGCGCCGCCGGCTTCTTCGGGAACGAGACCGACCTGAGCAGCCCCACCTGCAGCGGGCAGTGCCCTCAAGGCAGCTACTGCGTCGAGGGCACCGCCGACCCGACGCCGTGCCCCCGCGGCACGATGATGCCGGCGCGCGGCGCGGCGAGCGAGGATGCTTGTCTGCCGTGCGCTCCGGGCCAGTATCAGCCCCTCACAGGCCAGGCGGACTGCCTCGCCTGTCCTCCGGGGAGCTACTCGGCGGCTGTCGGGCAGTCGTCTTGCGAGCCGTGTCCGAAGGGCGGCTCCTGCAATGAAGTGGGCGCCGCCACGAGCATGGTCTGGGAGCCCTGTCCCGCAGGCAGCTTCAACCCGAACAACGGCTCCAACTCGAGCGCCGCTTGCGAGCTCTGCCCCGCCGGCACCGCGAGCGCGACGCGGGGAGCGGAGAGCGGCGACGCGTGCGCGCCCTGTGAGCCCGGCCATTTCGCCGCCACGCCTGGCCTCTCCAAGTGCGAGCGATGCTCCGCCGGATTCTACCAGAAGGCGAGCGGCGCAGCCGAGTGCCTCCGCTGTAAGCCTGGCAGCCTGTGTCCTCTTGGCGCGTCGCTCGAGCTGCCCGCAGCGTGCGAGCCGGGCACATACGCCAATGCCACCGACGATGACGGCGATCCCGACTGCTTCGACTGCCCGGCGGGATCGTCGTGCAGCGGTGGGGCTGCGCCGCCGGCGGAGTGCTCGCCGGGCGCTTTCGCCGCCACGCTTGGCCTCTCCCAGTGCGAGCGCTGTAAGCCCGGCACCACCTCTGGCGCCGGCAGCGTATCGTGCGACGAGTGTACTCCAGGCGCGTACGCCGCCAACCCTGGCCAGGGGGAATGCACCCTCTGCCCCTATCCCTTGAGTAGTGGGCGCGGCGACGTCACCTGCTCGATCTGCAAGGAGGACTTCTACTTGAAGGACTCGAGCGCCGATCCAGACGACATCTTCAAAAACCCGACCAAGTACTGCAAGGATTGCCCTTCAAACGCCGACTGCAGCGCCGGCACCGCCCTCGCGTCCCTCGGCGTGGACGTCGGCTACTGGCGCGCCTCCACCGCCACCTCGGAGCTCCACCGTTGTGACTCAGAGACGTGCTCTGGTAGCTCCGGCCAGCCCAGCCGCCGCCGCCTCACCGACGGAGATGACGACCCATTCTGCACCGCCGGCCACACCGGCCCGCTCTGCGAGGTCTGCGTCGCGGACTCGGACTACTTTAGCTCTGCCGAGGGGCGCTGCGTCGCCTGCCCCTCGACGGCCCGCTCCACCGGCGTCGTTGTCGGCTTTGTCATCGTCATCGCTGTGCTCGCCGCCGCCTACGCTGGGCTTCGTCGCCTCTCCTTCTCCCGCCGCCTCCGGAAGCAAGCCACCCGCATCGAGTCCGAGGTCGGCCTGCAGCCCAAGTTCAAGATCGTCGTCAGCTTCTACCAGGTGAGCAGCATCCTCGGCCTCGTCTACGGCGTCCGCCTCGACGAGCACTTTACGCGCTGGCTCGACGTGCTCAAGCTGTTCAGCCTGGACCTGTTCGGCGTTGCCATCCCGGGCCGCTGCATCGGAGCCATGAGCACGCGCTTGCTCGTCGCGGGCCTCTGGCCGTACGCCGCCGTCGCCTTCGTGTCGCTCGCCATCGTGGCGGTGGCGGCGGCACTCAACGTCAAGCAGAAGCAGGCCTCCATATTCGATCGCAATCTCTTTGGCCGCCTCCTTTACTGGGCGATCTTCATCTTCTACCTCGTGCTTCCCTCCGTCTCGCGCTCCATCTTCAGCGCGAGGCTGTGCGAGTCCTTTGGCTACGACGACGCGACGGGCCAGCGCATCAGCTACCTGCTCGCCGACCCGTCGCTCACGTGCGACGCCGGCCCTACGTGGGACGACGAGACGAGCGGACTCGCGCCGTACTTTTGGGCCTTCTTCGCCCTCTGGCCCGTCCTCGTGCCGCTCGGCTTCTTGGCGCTGCTGCTCCGCGTCCGCAAGCCCGTCGCTGCGCAGCGCGCAACGCCGCTCTCCAGCGCGACGAGCTTCCTCTGGAGGGACTACTCTGCCAGCTTCCTCTTCTGGGAGGTGCTCGACCTGGTCCGCAAGATCTTCCTCACCTCGATGGTGCTCTTCATCGACCAGGAGTACGGCTCCAGGAAGCTGCTGCGCACCGTGGTCGCCGCCGTCGTCTCGGCCATGTTTCTCACTCTTCTCGCCCTCGCCCGTCCCTACCGGCGCTCCGACGACCTCTGCCTCGCGTGCATCGCCAACCTGCTCCTCACATGCTGCTTCGCCTCGGGAGTGGTCATCCAGGTCCGCGCCCCCGCTGAAATTCCTCACCGTCCCTCTCTGTCTCCCGTAACCGCGCAACTCACCACACCCGCCGCCCTCGCCACCGCAGCTGTGCGACAGCACCATGTACGAGGACATGTGCTACAACCTCGTCGGCTACCAGACCTCGCGCGGCGCCAGCACCTTTGCCGTCGTCCTCACCGCGGTCATGCTCGCCGTCTCGCTAGTCGTCATCCTCGTATCGGCGGTCAGCGCCGCGAGGGCGAAGACCATGCGGCTCGTCTCGTCGATGCGCGAGCCGATGCGCGACGGCATCACCCTCGCCGACGGTCAGCAGTGGCACCTCTTCCTCAGCCACGTCTGGAGCACGGGGCAGGTTTGCCACCCCTTGCCCCACCGCTTAAGGTGCGGATAAACCTGACCTGCCTTCCTCCCGTGTAGGACGCCGTCGACGTCATCAAGAACGAGCTCCAGCAGTTCCTGCCCGGCTGCGAGATTTTTCTCGACGTCGACGACCTCAAGAACATCGGAGAGCTGGAGGCGTACATTGGTCGCTCGCAGGTGGTGCTCTGCTTCCTGTCGCGGGGCTACCTGCGCTCAACGAACTGCTTGCGAGAGATCCGCGCCGCGCTGGAGATGGGCAAGCCGCTCGTGCTCGTCCACGAGGCAGACCCGGACAAAGGCGGAGGCACGCTCGCCGAGCTGCGGTCCGAGTGCCCCGAGGAGCTGCAGGCCGCCATCTTTGACGCCGGCTGGCCGATGGTGGTGTGGCATCGGATCGCGGCCTTCCAGCACGTCTCGCTCAAGGTCATCGCCGAGGCGCTGCTGCTGAAGACGCCAAAGTACGAGGGCGAGGACGAGCTGCCCCTGTGCATCCCGGGCGAGATCCGAGCCGACGGCCTCGCCTTCCCCAAGCCGGTGATTCTCTGGGCCTCGACTTTGAATGACGGGGCGCGAGGGCTTGCCGATGCGGTCGCGGCGGCTGTGCCTGATGGCATATCGATCACCGACGCACCGCCCTCGTGCCTCTTCTCGCTGCCTCGCTCCTCGCGCCCCTCGCGCATCTCCTCGCTGCTCTCTTCGCTACCTCGACGCGCGAGAAGAGAAGGCGGCGGCGAGGCGACGCACATGCTGCTCTACCTGAAGGAGGCGACCTGGGCCGACAATGGCGCCGAGGCGCTCGCAGAGCAGGTGCGCGCCGCGCGCCGCGCCGAGCTGCCGCTCGTCATGGCGCACGAGAACGACGCCGTTCGTGGCGGCTGCATCTTTGCCCACTTTTTTGAGGTGACGCCACGCGATCTGCTCTCCGATGGGCTGTACAACGACCTCGCCGTCGGCTGCCACTCGAACCCGCACCGGCAGGTGTCGCTCGCCCTCCTCGCAAAGGCGCTCGGAGCGACCAAGCAGACGGCTCAGTCGCGCGTGCGCCGCGCCACTGTCACTCGATCGATGCAGACCCGCGGCTCCTCTTCGAACACGGAGCCGTCGAATGGCGACGACGCTGTGGAAGAGTCAGCGACGCAGGACCGCCAGATGGTCTGAGGAGAACGCCTTTTGCTGCACAGTAAACCGCACACGCACATACACACGCATGCACGCGCGCACAACACACCACCTCCGCAGAGCCCCTGCACAAACGAATTGAGCAACCTTCCCCTGTGTGGAGCTGTGGACGCTTGGGCGTGGATAGGGGTCCGATCTTGGAAAGAACTTAAGGTTACTTTGCGCGGATGAAGGGCGACGGGGTTGTCACCTCGTCGGGGTTGTGATCTCGGCATTTGTTACGCCGCGACTTGCGAAGAGCATCCCTTCGCGCTCGAAAGATTTTTTTACAACAAAGCTCGCTCGCACGACACTGGGCACGGGACTTTCGCGCACTGGCACTAACAAAGGTACGAAAGAATTAGGGTGGGCGATGGAATCCTGGGACGGGCTGTTAACTGAGGACCTGTGTACGTGCGTGGTGTGCAGTGTCGTGTCTACTAGCTCCGAGTAGAGGGGGCGTTCTGAAGTTAAGGGGAAACCCGGTACACGGAGCCAACCCTCGGAGACCCGTGTTTACTTTACGGCCCTTTCCCTGCGAACGCGCACCCCCCCTAGGGGTCAGGCAGGGCTCTCTAGCCCGTAGCCCGATGCCGATCATCCGGCCCGCTGGGTGCGCTTCTTAGCTCCCCGGCCCTGGATGTGAGGTTGATGACTGCACTCCAAGTGCTCCAAGAATTTTACAACAAAACTCCCTCGCACGACACTGGCAGATTCACTGGGCACGGGACTGGCTGGCGCGCACTCGACTGGCACTAACACAGGTACACACACCACGGGAGCCGCCTAAGCGACTCCTGCGAGGGCGGCGAGGCACTTAGCTCCGTGCACCCGCCCGCCCCCGCCACAGGCAAGCTCATTCATAATCTGCTCTGCGATGTTAAAAAACCAAGAGATATTCCACAAAAGTTCGGTTGGCTTCGGCCGTCCATCCAGTCCGCCATAACGTACACGCGTCTTCCGGTGATATGATTCGCCGCTTTCAACTCGCGAGCTGGCTGGCTCTGACGTGCGCCTCGAGAGAGCTCGATCCGGACGTCGAGCTTGACCCATGCCGGGACAGTATTTAGCCAAGGTGATCAAGGACCCACACTGGGACCTCGCCCACGGCGGTCGCGCCGACTGAGCCTGTCGAGGACTGACTTCAGGGGCAAGCACAACTCGCTGTACAACTACTTGTCCAGCCCCAGCCCCTGCCCTTCGCCCGATATCCATCGCCCATTTTTTCGCCCCTGTAGCCCCTCTCTCCTAGATCCCCGACCCCCTGATCCCCGACCCCCTGATCCCCGACCCCCTGATCTCCCCCTCAGTGCAAATGGGCATACGTCAGCTACGTCGCCTCCGAACTCAATCCGCAGAACTGGGGCTGGGGCAACGTCAGGGGCTCCTGCGGCGGCCACGACTTCAAGCTCGGGCCCAACGCGGAGAAGAACTGCAGCGGCGTGCGCACCTCGACCAAGATGTCCACCCCGACCATCGCAATCAACCCGTTTGGCACCAACACCGACTCGGCGCCGTGGAAGCTCGTTGTCCATGGCGACCACGTCCATGACCGAGTCACGGGGCCGCTGCACAGGCTCGACCTCGAGCTCTCGTACTATCCCCACACGAAGGCCCCTCTCATCGCGCATGGTCTGATTGGCCAGAGCTTTGCCGATTCTTCTCCGCGTGTCGGCCGGCTCGACGTCTATCCCGAGGCGGGCACCTTCACGACGTCTGCGCAGGCTGAGGGCGCCATCGAGGGCACGGGCGATTTGTACGAGTTGCCCTCGCCCTTTGAGACCGATGGGGCCTTCTCGCGATTTGCAGGCGCGGAGGCGGGCGGATCAGGCACGGCAGAGGCGGCGATGGCGACTTGCAACGCCAAGCTCGCCCAAGAGATTGTCGACGTAGCTGCCGCCTCCGCATCTCCGAGGCTGAAGCGCATGGCGTTGCGCGTCATCCAGCAGGGTATCGACAGCTTGAAACGGTACCGCCGCCAGAAGGCGAAGGCGGCCCGTATCGTTGCGCGCGCCACCTCGCTCGAGGTGGAGTCCAGCGAGGATTTGACTGCGGCGCACCGCCGCTTGGCGGAGGAGCCGGCGTGCCCCCCGCCGCTGTCGCCGCCGCCGCCGCCGCCCCCGCCGCCGATGCTGCCTGGCGAGAGTCTTGCTCCAGGCACCGAGTTCATCCTTCGGATCGCCGGTGCTGGCCGGCGTCGGCGGCGCGCCCTGTCTGCAGTCGGCTTGTCTACGGTACGCAGCGCCGTGATTGACGCCATGAATGGGGTGGGCGTCAGCATCACGGCAGACCAAGTCCAGGTGGAAGACCTCGGCGACGGCCGTTTCAAGGTCACCATCACACTCGACGTCGTGGCCTCGGGGGACGCCTTCCTCGAGAAGCTGAAGGAGACTCTCCCCTCGGCCAAGTTTGACGAGCAGCCCAAGACGATCACCGTCATTGTAGCGCCGCCACCATCGCCGCCCGGGCCGCCGCCGGAGACTCCGCCGCCACTGTCGTCGCTGCCCTCCCCGCCGCCCCCCACCCCCCCGCCGCCGTCTCCACTGCCAACGCCCCCGCCTCCGTCTCTGTCCCCAGCGCGCCCTCCGCCGTCTCCTCCGCCGCCGCCCTCGCCGCCGCCCTCGCCGCCCCCGTCGCCACCACCGCCGCCGCCGCCGCCGCCGCCGCCGCCGTCGCCGCCGCCGCCGTCGCCGCCGCCCTCGCCGCCCCCGTCGCCACCGCCGACGCCGCCCCCGTCCCCGTCACCGCCGCCACCTGCGCTTCCGCCACCCACACCGCCTCCTCCCTCCACCTCACCCTCGCCGCCACCACCAGCCCCGCCGCCGCCCTCGCCGCCGCCCTCGCCGCCCCCGTCGCCACCACCGACGCCGCCGCCGCCGCCGTCGCCGCCACCGCCCCCTCGCCGCCGCCCTCGCCGCCCCCGTCGCCCCCGCCGACGCCGCCCCCGTCCCCGTCACCGCCGCCACCTGCGCTTCCGCCACCCACATCGCCTCCTCCCTCCA